ACAAAGAAAACAAAGGGGGAACTCGGTCAGCTTTAGTTTTCCAAGTATTCTACTTTATCAACTTGCTGAGCATTTTCTTTTTCACGTTGTTGAAGCCAGGACTGAAGATCCAGAACATTAAGATCACATGCAGTTGACTTCTAAACTGGAAACAAAAACTGACTTATGCAAACTGGAATTAATAGTATTGACTTTTGAAGCAAACTGGTCAGGTTTAATATTTTGAATGACATATCATACTGTTTTTAGTGTTTTCCTGTCATAACATTAGGAAGCGTTTTTCTTGTGTCCTTTTGTTCCTTCAGCAATCCCACAACAACATGAATGTAAGGAAGAGGAGGGTCTCCTCCAGCAGGTCTGCCTCCCAGAGAGGAACTCCAGTCTTGATCAGGAGGACCCAGGGCATCCAGAGATTAAAGAGGAACCAGAGGAACTCTACACCAGTCAAGAGGGAGAGCACCTTATACTGAAAGAGGAGACTGATACCTTTATGGTGACTTCTACTTGTGAGGAAAGTGAACCAAACAGTGACCAGCTCCTTTCTCACAACTGTCCTGAACCAGAGAGCAGAGACGAGGAAGAAAGCAAGTATGTGGACTCAGGATCGACTAGATGTGCAGATCTGTTGAGACATCAAATAGACAGAAGTCATATTAGCAGAGTAAATGACTCTCAGGCTTTAGACAGCCAGTGTAAAACTGATACAAGTAGAAAGTCTGTAAAATGTGACACTTGTGGAAAAACCTTTCAGTGTAAATCCAACCTGACTAAACATCTGAGAACACACACAGGTGAAAAGCCACATTCCTGTAGCATCTGTGGAAAAGGATTTAGTCAGATGGCAAACTTGAAAACACACATGAGAATTCACACGGGCGAGAAGCCACATTCTTGCAACACCTGTGGGAAGAGATTCAGTCACATGATAACTTTGAAAACTCACGTGCAAAATCACACAGGTGACAAACCGCATTCTTGTAGCACCTGCGGGAAAAGATTCAGTCGTATGATACACTTGAAAACTCACATGAGAATTCATACAGGTGAGAGGCCGCATTCGTGTAGCACCTGTGGTAAAAGATTCAGTCAGAAATCAACACTGGAAACTCACATAAGAATCCACACAGGTGAGAAGCCACATTCTTGTGCGATCTGTGGGAAAAGATTTAGTCAGATGGCAAACCTGAAACGACACATGGGAATTCATACTGGTTAAAGATCACAAATGAGTGAGAGCTGTCAGACATGGCAGTGTGCCGATGATAGAGCCCACACTGGTGACAAACCAAATCACTGCAACAACTAAGGGAAAATGTGACCTCATATTCAGGTTGAGACGTGTACAGAACTCTCAGAATTGTTTATTTGGCTAATTATTATGATGCATTGGAACCTTTTTTTATTGTACTTTAAAAAAAAAAAAAATTGTGACGTGGTGACCAGAGAACAAAACAGTTTGTTCTTTGGGTTGGCGAACGTTTCCTGGCTGATGTCTGTGCTTACATGCCGAATACTATCCGAGAACTATTCAGCATGTACCTGGGCTACTTAGGGTCCCCAACACTCAACATAAGAAGTGAAGCAAAACCTGCAGGGGTGTGATTGAAGGGAATAGCCTGTCCAGTCTAAATCCAAGCAGTGCTTTGTCGGGCTTCTGTGATAGTCCTACTTTATTCATAATCAACACCATCTTCAAACAAGTGTGTCTATGAGTGCACATCGCACCTGAGCCATAGATTGCTGATCAATTTTGTAATCATATAGTCAGGTCTGCAGCTGTATGTTCTGAACTGTCAGGTTATGAGTTGTCAGTTGATCATTAGCTAGTGGTGAGTTGGAGGAAGTGGTGGGGAAGAATGCCAGAACGACCTTGCATACCCATACTGTAGATGTGCTGAAAGCATCTGGTAGAGGTTCCAGTTCACAAGATCTTCAACTCTGAGAGCTTTAACTGCATTCTGATGAAAGCTAGGGACATTGACTCTGAATGGACCGTTTCACGTGTTTTTCCGTCTCGGAGTAGAGCTCCTACTCCCCAAATATCGAAAGGAGATGTTTAAGGTGGTTTTTGCATATAACCAGAAAGTGTCCAGTGTGAAGTGTTCTGGGCACTACAGGATGTGGCCCCAGGAGAAACAATGGAGAGATTATATCTCTCAGCTGGTTTGGGAACTCATTGGGGTCCCTTAGGAAAAACTAGAGGAGGTGGCTGGAAAACTCTGTACTCTGGGTATCTCTGCTTATACCTGCAGCTATACTTGCTGATGTGACCAATACCCAGAAAAGTGGAAGAAATGGATTACCTGTCCAACTGTCAAAAATTACAACTCTGGTTCTTTGAAAGTAAAATGTAAAGAAAAGAGGGGTGCTCAAGACATTTGCACAGTACTGGTAACTGGTTTTGTTTTACCTCTATTTTAATTTTCTACTGTATTTTTATTTTTTATATATATAGTCAATTTTATTGTACAGTACTTTGTGATTACATGTCTGTGAAAAGTGCTATGTAAATAAATTTACTGACTGTAGTTAATCAGCTAAGTTAATGAATGGATTTTTCTTCCTTTGCTTCATTTTTTAATCTGCTCAGTTTCTTTTTATTTGCTTTAGTTTTACAGATTTGGGTGAAATTCGTTTTAGAGTTTTGACATTATATTATTATTAAAATCTGAGAGTGTTTTGACAGAAACACTGATGGAAACTGTGGGAAACATTTCAGCATCATTAAACCAGTATGTCAGCTCTTGGGAGCAAAATTACAACAACAACATAATAAGAAAAATAAAATGATTTCAATCATTTTTTTTTCTTTCAACTGCTCCCTTTAGGGGTCGCCAGAGTGACTCATCTTCCAATATATCACACAGTTTCTAGCACCCTCTTTAGTTATGCCAGCCCTCTTCGTCTTTTTCTTCACTACATCCACAATGTATAACTTCAGTAGTGTTTGTAGTAATCATTACAACACTTCATCATCCTCCCACAAAATTTGTATTCAGTTGACTTTAGTTTTCAAATGCCACAGACATGAGATGTTGGTTTTCTACGGTCTTAAACTGAGCTATCTTTTAAAATCTGAATTGTACAAAGCTTCTGAATATTTTAGGATTTTGATAAGTATAAGTTAGCTACTGAGTTGTATAAAACTGCCCCCACACATCCAGACTCACTAAAACGTTTGGCCTTTGAACAAAAAATCTGTATTTTTTTTTATACTTTTCATCCTTTTTGATTGATTTCACTTTGCTTGTGTTTTACTTTCTATAAATGAAATCTGTCATCATTAGGGATGGGAGTCACAAACTGGTTCCCAACAGTTAAATTCCTTGGATTTGTTAATCTCCTTGCCTGTTGATTCTGCTCATCAGTTCCACTCACACTTGCTACAGTTTAAGATAAGATACCTTTATTAGTCCCACGAGTGGGAAATTTCATGTTAAGGCTGCCGACCTATTGCACGCAATGGCGGCGCCATCTTACCCTCCGACAATACATACATTACACAAAAACATCACATGGGGAAGACAGGTCAGAGAGGTATAACAATGGAAAATGCACCACATGAGGAAAGATAAGGATAAAAAAAATAACTCTCCCCAGACTGAGCTCCAACAGGGAGATCAGTTTGAGAACAGAAAAACCCACCTCTGCACAGAGTGTACCAGATTAGGAAAATAAGGTGCAGTCTGCAGAGTGGATATGGACATAACCTTTATTTTTATTGCACAAAAGGATGAGATGATACCAGAGGTATAATTCAAATGCTGCAGCACAAAACTCATCCTTAGCTGATGGCAATGGCACCTAGCATTGTCTTCTGCTGCTGCAGGCGATTGCCTTCAAAGAGGAACATGTTATATGTTCAGAGATGCTCTTCTGCTTGCCTTAGTTTGTAACAAGCGGCTACTTGAGTCATTGTTGCCTTCAAAAGTGCTCAAAGTACTCTGGCCATTCTCCTCTGACCTCTGACATCAACAAAAAATGTTCACCCAGAAAACTTCAGCTTGCTAGACTTTTTTAGACCGTTCTCTGTAGACCTTAGATGTGGTTGTGATAGAAAATCCAATAGATCAGCAAGTGTCTGAAATACTCAGACTGGACCGTCTGACCACAGCACTTTCACAGGCACTTTGTAGGGTGAAACATTTCTATATTGATGGGACTGGACTGCAGCAGGATCATAGAATATTTCAGGAGTATGAAAATGGTGTGAGTCATGCATTTTGGCCATCAAAGCCAGTCAGTCTTAACCAAGCTGAACATCTTTCATGATTCATGATTTCATAATTATCTTTTGAATGACGTAAAATAAAGTGATCTTAACAATTTCGTCAAAACTCTAAAAAAAGACTTTTTTTTTTTTCCATTTCATTTGTTCTTTAGATTTTAAGAGACTTGCAGAATCAATACCGTGAAAGACTGAAGCTGTTCTGAGGGCACATGGTACACAAAAACCTCATGAAGAAGTCTTTTTCCTTTAATTTGTCACATGTCTGTATCTCACTGCTCCAGTTTTGATATCTTTGTGGATAACGGTGTCTGAGCCTGTTCGGTCAGAAAATATTGTTCATGACATGATACTAAAATAATTTAATTAACTATGTGTATTTTAAAAAAAAATATTACATTTACATCCAATAAAGGCATGGGCTCTATATTCTCACATGACACATGGTCTATTTCTGTCAAAAGTTACCTTTTATATAAATGGCACACAGGAATAGACAGAAAAAGCAGCGATGTCTGCACTGGGATGAAGGAAAAGAAGCTAAAATTATTTTAGCAGACTTAAACAAGTTTTGAAAAAAATGTGAAACAAGCTCTGTTATAAGAAGTGTTCAGCAAGCATTTCTCCTCTTCCTGAAATGAATCACACCCTTCGTCTTCTTCCTGCTCTCTAACTCAAGACTTCCTTTGTGTCAACATGTTTCCGTGTTCCCTCCCCTTTCGATCTGCAGTTTGAAGATGAATGTCACAAACATGCTGACACGGAAGAGCTCACAGGCCCGATTCACTACAGATACATGCTGGTAAATCAGAGCTCAGACTAGTGTCAGTCATACGGAAGTGAAACTTGCAAAGTCGCTGACACTGAGAGGAGAAATGGCGGAGAAAGGAGTTCAGCTGGACCGAGAAACCTTCTCTTGTTCGATCTGTTTGGATCTACTGAAGGATCCGGTGACTATTCCCTGTGGACACAGCTACTGCATGAACTGTATTAATGGCTT